CTGCCACTAGCAGCCACTACATCTGCTTTTAACTGCCACTAGCGGCCATTACAGCTTGTCACCTAAAGAGTTAGATTTAATTTCATATAATTACTATAAAATTATTCTATTGCTTATTAAATTGGGTAAGAAATAAAATATTTTATTAGTCTGCTTTAGGAGAAATTTGTCCAGGAAGCAAAACTGCACGATAATAGCAGCTCATCCAAAACTACAGTAGCCATAATAAATACATAAAAGCAAAAAAATACATAGAAATACAAATGTCAGATCAGCAGTTAATCCCCATAACCATTTCCATTCACATCCTCTGAGTGCTGCTCCTGGTCTCTGTGTGGACCTCATGGTACTGTCCAGGCCCAGCTGGTCGGCCGTTTATCAGGCTGATGGACAGGGTTGGGGGTATGTGGTTGATGTAGAACTGGGTTAGGGTGCAAATGAATGTTTCAGACGTTTCTTTTTACACCAGAACCCTGAACCTTCTCCTGAATCCATGAGGACGTATTCTGATGCGATGTGATCCATCAGACAGGTGATGAGCTATGGTAGCCTGATCAGAGACAGAGGATAGATCTGAGTATTAATGATCTTCACCAGATTTAATTTAACGGTAAGATTTCCAAACCATCCAGTAATGCCATCTCAGAACAGACAGCTGCCCTACTAAAGATCAACATTATCATTTTGGAGACGCCACACAATCGGAGCCGTCTAAGAAAATGGAGACATTGGTGAACCTTTGCGGAGACACTTGTCACATGTGTGCAGCAAGTCAGATCGCCGTCTTTGTCCAAACCTAAATATTTAAAGATCTCTGAAGGAGCAGCCATGTACGGCTATGGGACTCTGTCACTGCTTGATGTGAGGATCCAGAAATAGTCTGGATCCTCACATCAAGGAGGATCCAAACACTGCAGTTTGAGAGTCACGCCAAAAACAAAAAACTCATCTATGGCAGATTTATGATTGTCTGGATTGTCTGCTAAAAGACTCGGAAAAGCTATCATCTGAAAATGTTATTATATACTGATTTGAGAGCTAACATATTAATTTGTGTACAAAATAAAAAAGTATGGCGAACTGATGCAACCTTGGGGGCCCTGTGCTACTTAACTTGGAATCAGAGAGAACTGGATTATATTTTACTTCCCGAGATCTTTTTGATAAACAGGAGTAATCAGTAAAATCTGTAATATTGATTGTATTTATGAGATGTTGATGATCCCAGAGTGCCATGATGATCCACAGCAGGATGCCCGAAGTTACCAACAACGTCCTCAACCAGCAGCTGCTGCCACTTCCTGATTCTGTTGACGATTTTTAAAACATGTCATAATTCTCTGAAATGTCCTTTTAATCTTTTGCGTTCCCTCGCAGTAATGTCCCGATCAGTTCATCCATCACTAAATACTGACACTTCCTGCTGTAATATGAGGATTTTTCTCCGTGTATGTTAATATCTGGTTGTGAAATATCTGAGGTTTTATATCTTTGGGACAGAAATTCACATCAGACCTATGTTGAAAGTGCAAAAGCCAAACAGCCCAAAGGTTTTCCTCTCTTTCCATCCCCACTGAGACATAAACAGAAACTTCCCAAGAAATTAAAATGCATCCAAACTATTTGGACTATTTCTGAGTTATTGTCCCAGGGCAATAAAATCATCAGACTGTTGTGATTGTGTCTTTGTGTTGTTCTGAATGCTTTAAAGAGCCGTTTTCATGAGCAGATCCTTCTCAACTTTACAGACATAAACATGCAGTGAATAAATCTATTTTAATCCGTTTTTTGCACCAGCGTTAATAAACAAGTTTTCACTGAGGATCTTTAAATGTGTATATATCTGAAATTTGAAATTGACATTTGTGATTGCATACAAAATAATGAGCAAATATTGCTTATTGCGATTGAACCCAAAAGAACATTTTCCCCCCAAGACCCCTAGGGGGCTCCGTGGCACGCTGTGCCAGATCCAGTGTTATTTATTTTCTCAAAATAAAATCGTTCATATTCAATCTGACAGCAGCTGGTTAGGGATAATGAAAGAATCGTCTTCAGTTTGAACTGGACGGACACATCGCAGATGAAGCTAACCGCTAATAACCGAGTCCATGACGACCTGACTTCATGTTGTCGATTAAATAAAAGCGTGACCATGTCTGACGTAACGCCGTCAGGTGGTTCCGACAGAACAGCGGAACCAGAACCTGGAACCACTGGGCTGGGTTGATTTTCTGTTTCTCCACAGGGAATTCACCCGGTGCTGGGCTGCCTGGTTCTGTGTCTGGCGCTGATCCAGCCCATCCTGGCCTTGATGCGCTGCGCGCCGCAGCATCCAAGGTTGGTTGCGGTTCTGACGGGTTCTGTTCTGTTTACCTGATGAAGGTTGGGTTCTTGAACAGCTTCCAAAATTATTCCAGTCGGGTTTTTAGCAAATGAAACTGAATGATAAACCCATTTCTGTTCTGGACCGGGCTGGAAGTCCAAAGTTATCCAGTAAAACCAATAAAACCAGTTCTGGTTCTGTTTCAGGAGGTTCCTGTTCAACTGGGCTCATTCCGTCATCGCCGTGTCTCTGAAGCTGTTAGCAGGTGAGTTTCAGTTTTCCCACGGTGCCGTGAACGCACCCCAACCCTAACCAGGACTTCCTGACTCCGCCCACAGTGGCGGCCGTCTTCACAGGCATGGACATGATGGACAGCAGCGGCGACGGCTGGCTGATGAAGGTGCTGGGCGGCTTCACCGGCTGGGAGGCGCTGCTGCTCATCCTGATGGAGCTGCAAGCAAGATGGCGGAGCGCCGCAGGTCAGAACCGGAACCGCTGAGCGTCTCACCAGAACGTGTTATTGATTGTTGAGGCTGTTTTGTATTTTCCTGAAACGATTCTGTTTGGTTCTGGTCGGGTCCTGTCAGAGTTCCTTCCATGGTTCTGACCCGTTCAGAGCTGCCATTGCTATCGAAACTTAGTCTTTCATTAGAGAACAAGTGTAAATCTTTCCCAGCATCCTCCTCTGACCTCTGACCTCTGTGCTGTGGTTGCAGATGGCAGCAGTCCTGTGGAGCCCGACAAGGTAAAGGAGCCAAAGCAGCAAATGAAGGCGACGTTCCTGAATGACGGCAGCTCTCCTGTTTGCAGGTGGGGCGGGACGTCCTGCTGGTGGCGCTCTTCCTCACCGGGAACCTGGCCTTCCTCATCGCCCTGCTGGTTGGAATCGGACAGGCGGTGCATTACTAGCATCTGGGTCTGCTCAGCGCTCGTTCTGTTCGGTCCGTCTCAGATTTCATCACGTTCAGCGGTGATGCAGAGATCGGTCCGTTACGATCAGCTGAGGAGAAGTTACAAGTTCTAAAGTAGAGAAACTTCAGCGCATTAAAGTCTGAGTT